CCAGGCTCCGAATATTTGCTGTGTTTGCATTGGTGTGCCGACAATGTTGCTTTCTCATTGGCCCATGGCCACTTCGGGATGTGTCGGCCTCACACTGCGTGTGCCCAGGGCGCAACCACCTGCGTCCTGGGCTCAACTGCTTGATGTAGCTGCTTCTTCTGGAAGAGCCCAGGGTGAGGCCCAGGTTGCACTTCAACCAACTGGCCTGCAGCAACCATCTGATACCACATTGGAAAATGTAGAGATAAGGGCCTCTCGTGGACATTCAGACCCGCCTTCACTTAGGGTGGACACGAGGCTTGCTGGGGCCCACAGTCCAGAACATATGCATGTTGTCTAGGGGCCCATGAGGACACATTCCTCACAAAAGGTGAGATTTTGAAAAAAAAAGAATGGATTAACTCCAAAATATTTCCGAATTAAATTAATCTTAGATTAATTAGATTTATTCAAAAAAGAATTAACGATAGAAAGGGAAAAAAAAAGATATACATTTGCAAAAAAAAACATCAAAAAAAAAAGAAGGAAAAAGTTGAAAATCGAAATTAATTCGGAAGTAATTCCGAGATAATTTCAAATTAATCATTTATGAATTCCAAAGGGAGAAATTGAACGAGAAGATTGAAAATTCAAGAAATTGGATTAATTGCCGAATTAATATCGTGTGTAATTGGAAAGTAAGGGGAGTGAAAAGTTTGAGATATCAGAAAAACGAAAATTTCAAATTCCAAAATAATTGAAGTAAATTCCGAATGAATTTTGAAAGAAGTAAGTAAAGATACCAAGATTCAAAAAAAATTTTGGTTTGGGGGGGGGGAAAGGATTTGAAAAATAATATTCGGGAAAACAATTAACTTGAGGGAGAGTGATCCTAGCTATGTGGGCTAACCAACAGGATGATAAGGGTAATAGTACTAGTTAGTGAAATAGGAATAATAGTTGTAGGGGTGGGGGGTGGGGGTGCGGGGCGCGGGATATCAGTAGGGCGCAGAGTGGTGGGGGGAATGCAGCGGGAGGGAGGTCGAGATTGCACATCAACGGGGGTAGGGGAAACGCGGCGGGGTTGGGGGGGGGGGAGTCGGGGGGAGGGGATCCGGGTTGGGGGGGGGGGGGGGGGGGGGGGGGGGGGGGGGGGGGGGGGGGGGGGGGGGG